CACATTACAAGGAATTGGTAATGGTGGACCTTTGGGATGTAAAATGGGTCCTTATTCTAATAAACAATGGTTTACAAGATTAAGGACCAAGGGTACCTTAACGTCGTAAAATGAATCACTAAACTTGTAACTTACACGTTTGGGGTAGCAATTTAAAAGGTTTTGCACCTAAGTTATAACGTTAGGGTTCACCAAATCCATAATATTGTAAATCACCATTTTACAAGAGTATGGATTCACATTACAAGGAATTGGTAATGGTGGACCTTAGCGATGTAAAATTGGTCATTATTCTAATAAACAATGCTTTACAAGATTAAGGACTGAGGGTACCATAACATCGTGAAGAGAATCCCTAAACTCGTAACTTACAAGTTTTTGACAACAATTTACAAGGTTTTGCACCTCGATTACAACATTGGGGTTCACCCAATTCGTAATGTTGTAAATCAACTTTTTACAAGAATATGGATCCACATTACAAGGAATTGGTAATTGTGGACCTTTGGGATGTAAATTGGGTCCTTATTCTAGTAAACAATGGTTTACAATATTAAGGACCAAGGGTACCTTAACGTCGTAAAGTGAATCACTAAACTTGTAACTTACACGTTTGGGGTAGCAATTTAAAAGGTTTTGCACCTAAGTTATAACGTTAGGGTTCACCAAATCCATAATATTGTAAATCACCATTTTACAAGAGTATGGATTCACATTACAAGGAATTGGTAATGGTGGACCTTAGCGATGTAAAATAGGTCATTATTCTAGTAAACAATTTTGTTAAAAGTTTAAGAACCGAGGGTACCATAACGTCGTAAAGAGAATCCCTAAACTCGTAACTTACAAGTTTTTGGTAACAATTTACAAGGTTTTGCACATTGATTACAACCTTAGGGTTCACCCAATTCATAATGTTGTAAATCAGTCTTTTACAAGGATATGGATCCACATTACAAGGAATTGGTAATGGTGGACCTTTGGGATGTAAAATGGGTCCTTATTCTAATAAACAATGGTTTACAAGATTAAGGACCAAGGGTACCTTAACGTCGTAAAATGAATCACTAAACTTGTAACTTACACGTTTGGGGTAGCAATTTAAAATGTTTTGCACCTAGGTTATAACGTTAGGGTTCACCCAATCCATAATGTTGTAAATCACCATTTTACAAGAGTATGGATCCACATTACAAGGAATTGGTAATGGTGGACCTTAGCGATGTAAAATTGGTCATTATTCTAATAAACAATGCTTTACAAGATTAAGGACTGAGGGTACCATAACATCGTGAAGAGAATCCCTAAACTCGTAACTTACAAGTTTTTGGTAACAATTTACAAGGTTTTGCTTCTGGATTACAACGTTAGGGTTCACCAATCCATAATATTGTAAATCATATGTTTACAAGGATATGGATCCATATTACAAGGAATTGGTAATGGTGGACCTTAAGGATGTAAATTGGGTCCTTATTCTAGTAAACAAAGGTTTACAAGATGAAGGACCGAGGGTACCATAACATTGTAAAGTTTATCCCTAATCTTATAAAAAACAATGGTTTACAACATTAAGGAATCATGTTACAGTGGTTGGGACATGAGAGTTCCATAACATTATAAAGTTTAGGCTTATTTACTGTAGTACCCCCTGAAACTTCGGTCAAATCTCACTTTGCCCCCTCAAACTTAAAATGACCCACTTTCATCCCTTGATCGAGGTTTGGTGACCCACTTTGCCCCTACCGTCAACTTCATCTAAAAGTCTGTTAACTTTGATGACGTGGCATGGGTATTTTTGTAATTTTGTACACATGGATCATCATCCACCAATTAGGTGAGTGACGTGGCAAGTGGAGCCCACCTTCTCCAAATGGATAAAAATATAATTAAATATTCTAATAATTAAATGTTAAAAAAAATAAGAAAAAAATATTTTCACATAATTAAAAACTACCCATCACCCAAGCCGCCCCAATCCTCCCACCCACCCACAACCATCCTTCCCTACCCATCCACCATTAATCCTTACCCACAGCCACTCCCAGCAACAAAACTTCTGAGACTTGATTGGTCTCCATTAAATCCACAAGTATTTCCTCCAATTTCTCCACCATCCCAAGTTCAATATACAACCCAACAACCATCTTCTCATTGATCTTCCACCAATCATCCAACACTATTTTAACTTCATATCTCTGTTTTTTTTTAAAAATTAAATGTTTTAGTTCATTTTTTTTGTTGGTTGCAGATTCAGTGATAAAGAACATCGAACTCATCGCAACATCCCGCTCTAGATCCGAACCCTACCACCATCACAACCCTCCCTCTCTCGATCTCCGACCAACCTTAAGACCCAACTTCAAATCTGGGTTTGAAACCCAGCCCCCTTCACCTATTAAAATTTAAAAAAAATAAAAATTTGGTTGCCTCTGCTCCT